TTCCACAGTCGTAATGTAATATACTATTTCATAATTAATGTATACTTTTACTAACATATTGTGTACTTTCACCTTTTTACTGTATCATATAAAATAATAATATACAGGGTGATTCATTACTAATTGAAAATATTTCAACTATAGAATCCTGAGCTTAAATTATGAAAATTTAACCCAATTCACCTAGATAAAATGTGTCTCGATTCTAAGTTACAGGGTGTTTTGTTTAAAAATTTAAAAAATATTTCTGCCCAGTACTTTAAAACTATTTGACGTATTATTGTCATATTTGGCGGAAAGTGTAGATACTATACACCCTACTAAATTATGTTAAATAAAAGATCCTGGCTACCATCAGAGGCGTACGACAGGGGCAAGTGACTAGTTAATCCTTCCCAAATTCTACGCCACTAGCGGAATTGCAATTTTATCACAATTTTTCGAATCTCCAATACTTCCTACGTAAATATTGTACTCATTCTTCATAGCGATATAGTTATTATTTTTCTAAATATTTTAAGTTAAACATGAAGCTGCACAATTATTTTTTTTACATTAATTGAGTCAATTTTAAATTATTATTGTAAAAGCTTTGTCATATTGTCATATTTGGCGGAATACATGCTTTCATACTTCGACATATTCACAATAAGCTTAGGTTTTGTGTAGTTGGCTCTGTTCTGACTTAATTGTTTCGATCTAGTAGGATGCTGTCATTGCTGTTAGTTGTAACTGACAAATTAGAATCAATTAAATGAAAATCCCGCGGCACAACAATTTTACTAATCTTGAAATGCGAGACATTCTCTGTGTCTATGTAAACGAAAATTATTCCTTTCTTGCTACTGCTCGAAGATATGAAGAAATCCATCCAAACAAAGTTCATCCCAATCGCCAGATTTTCAGTAATATTTTTAGTCGATTAGGAGAAACTGGACAATTTAGGCGTAACAGTGGTATGGGACGACCGAAAATATTAACTATGGATCAGGAGGATGATATTTTAGTGAGAGTTGCTGATAATCCTGAACTAAATACTCGGCGTTTAGCAGCAATGACGGGTAAGCCAGTCCTCAGTTTTTCGAATACTGAAAAAAGAACATTTACGCCCTTACCACTTTACACCGGTACATAATTTATTGCATAGAGATTATCCTTTACGAATGAATTTTGCTCATTGGATGATAAATAAAAAAATGAAATGAAAATTTTATTAAAATAAATTCGTTTTACTGACGAGGCCAAATTTACACGTAGAGGAGTTTTTAACTGAAGAAACGGTCACAATAGGGATATTGAAAATCCCCATCTATTCCGAGAATCACATTTTCAACACGAATTTAAAATAAATGTATGGTGTGGTATATTTGGAGATAGTTTGTTGGTTCCTTATGAATTACCAGAAAATTTGAATGATAACTCGTATTTACAGTTTATACAAACCACACTTTTCGATTATCTAGAGAAATTGTCTATTAATAGAAGATGAGACATGTGGTTCATGCAGGAACTATCTCAATCATGAATTTCCTCATCGTTGGATTGACAGGGGTAGTGAATTATACCCTTAGATTTCTATTTCTGGGGTCATATAAAATTACTAGTATATTCCCAAGCAATAAATACTCAACAGGAACTATGTAAGCAAATTTTAAATTCCAATAATTGTATTGCCAATCAGCCAAACATATTTTTTAAAGTTAGAAGATCGTTTAGCGAAAGAATGAATAAACTTATTGAGGTAAACGGGGGTCACATTGAACATTTGTTATAAAAAGTTTTTAAGTATTGTTCTTTATGCTTTTTGATATTTTCTTCTTATTAAAATTGTTTCTTTATTTAAATTATTTATTTTTAATTGTTTAATCCATGTTAACGTGGTTAATTACTCTCTGTGAAATAAATGGGCTGTATGATTTAATTACTGGTTCTATTAAAAGAAACAAAAATATAAAAAATTGTGCCACTCGGCAATACAAAGCGTTTACAATAATAATTTAAAGTTGACTCAATTAATGTAAAACAAAATAATTGAAGAGTCGCACAGTGCGTCGCCCAATGGACAAAAATCAGATTTCGACATCGAGTAAAAATCATATAATATACATCTAGGTTTAAAGAGTAATAACTAATTAATTTAAAACCACCATTTACAGTACGTACAAAGTCACAGAGGTGGTGGCTATGGGAATAGCTGAAATATTCGTCAACTTATAAAATAGTGTTGTCAGTGCAAGCTCTGTCATGTAGTTTTCTAAAAAAATTAATTAAATTAAAATTTTAGTTTGCTTATTTTAAACTTGATTTGAAAGTGCTAAATATTATAAGGTAAGTATTTTTTAAAGCAAAATTATAGTTGTAAGTTATAGTTCAAAAATATTTAAAAATAATTATTTTTAAAGTTTAGGATAACTTTAGACAAAAAGGATTAGTTTGGTCCCTTGAAATATATTATTTTGAAGTAGTTTATATCTTCGCAAACAAGTTAATATATCACTAAAATTGCTCACATTTGCACAAGTAATTTAATTTTTTATTTTTAGTTGCTGATATGGCTTTAAAAAACAGCGATCTTTTTGAAATGGCTATTTGTTAATTACACTTTATTAATGACAATGTTAGATGGTAGTACCATTAATACTTTGTCAAGTACCAATGCGACACAAAAATGTTTTATCTGCGGAGCTTCCCCAAAGGAAATTAATTTTGAGTCAGTCACTAAAAAACCTGTTAAAGTTGAGAACTGCATTCGTGGATTCGTTGCTTTGAGTGTTTGTTACACATATCTTATCGACTACCATTAAAAATTTGGCAGTTTAGAGGATCTGAAAACAAAAAAATCTACGAAGATCGTAAAAAATATATTCAGGCTGAGTTCAAAACCAAGATGGGGTTGGTAGTCGATAAACCAAAACCGGGTTACGGATCCACGAATGACGGTAACACAGCAAGGTTTTTTAATAACGCTGATCTTAGTTCCGCAATAACAGGTATCGACAAAGAGCTAATATTAAAATTTTCCATTATTTTACGAACAATTATTGCTAGCGGTATGAAAATTAATTTAATCCAATTTGACTGGTTACTTCTTGATACTAGATTACTCTACTTACAAATCTACGATTGGTACTATATGCCTAGTAGTGTGCATAAGCTATTAGTTCACGGAAAATATATAATTCAGTATTTTGACTTTCCGATTGGCCAGTTAGCTGAAGACGCCTTAGAGGAGGTTGGACACAAAGAAATACGTAAATTTCGACTGTTTCATTCAAGAAAATCTTTAAGAGTTAACACAAACACAATTACTAATAACTTCTGACCCATTTGTATCATCTTTAAGAAAAAATAGTTCCAAATACAACGAAAATCTCAGTGGTATCAACGAATACATAATCGATTCGCCTGTAATAGATGATAACAACTTAAATTTACCTATGATCCTAATAGACATAAGCGGTGACGAAAATGAATCTTCAGATAGTGATAGTGAATAAACTTGTATATAGTTTCTTTTAATGTATCAATGTTTCCTAGTTCTATTTCTTTATAATTTGTTATATACTATTATTAAATTTAAATAAATATAAATAAAAAGTAGATATTTTTCAAGTTATAGATGTCTAATCTTTAAAAATATATGTATGTACAAATACCAAGATATAAGTATTTAATTAAAAAATATTTATTTGGGACACCTTGTATGTCTGGTACCATATTTTTTTTCATTTGTACATTAATAATAGTCTATCATATAAATATATCCCAAATTTTTTCCAAAACTATTGGTGGTTTAGGACTGAGAATTTTTGTCCAGGTAGATCTATACCGCGACGCACTGTGAGTCGGCTCGAACAACGTTGTAACTCGCAAATTGTATAAAATCGAGTTAATCATGAAATAACGTTGTATGACACCTAAAGCAACCGCCTAATAGAATAAAATCCCTCTGTTTTTAAATATCCCCCTCAAATCAAATATTTTATTTTGTCATTTGGTCGATTTCCGCCGAAGAACGTTGTAAGTAGTAGCGCACGAGATTATTTGGACGTATTTTATTGCATTTTTTGCATCATGTCGGTGGTAAATTTCTCGTCTTCGTTGCAAAAGACATTAAATCGTGGTAAAAAACGCAAATCAAAGATTGCTTAGTCAATAAGTCAAAGTTAGCTAGAGACAGAGGAGAAGAATATCTAAGTAAAAGAAAAAACGTTGTAACTGTACTATTATGGGGGCGGGAATTTAAATATCATGTATTTGCACTTTTATTATTATTTTAAGATGGGGATCCGAAACTTTTCAAAAGTATCGATGTTTTTAGAAGGTTTTTGCACTTTTCTTGCTTGGTGGTTGTTATTTTTTAACAAAAATACCTTATGGCATTCTTTGTGCTATTACATTTCCTAAAGTGACCAAAATACATTTTAAAATTGTCCCGAATGTGACATTAATAAATTTTGGCGAAAATAAAATAAAAAAACATAATAAATTAGAGCCAATTTATTAATTTCATATTTGGGACAATTTTAAAATATATTTTGGTCACTATAGGAATGGTAATAGCAGAAAGAATGTCATCAGGTATTACCGTCATCGGGTATTTTTGTTGAAAAATATCAACCACCAAGCAAGAAAAGTGAAAAAACCATCTAAAAACTTTGATACTACTGAAAAGTTTCGGATTCCCACCTTAAGTATGTTCTCTTTCTTTGCAGAATGTAGTGTGCCGCTGTAAAAGGGGATGTTTCGCTACATAGTTAGAGGGCAATAAATGTATCATCTTCTTAAAATTCAGAAGTCTTACTTACAATCAACAATCCCAATTTCTTGCTTATCAATGTATTGAGATACGTGAGCCCATACGGCCAAAAGTAAAAAATCAACCAAATCCACGCCACAAGTGTACAGTTTTTTATTTTCTACCTCTTGAGAAAGAAAAGATACGTGTTTGCCAAAAAACTGTCACCGATACCCTTAAAGTAACCCCTCAAAGAATACAAATGTTAGTGGAAAAGCCAAAGAATGATAAACAGTTGGCAGAAAGCAATCCCTCTAATATTTTTGATTTATTCATTGATTTGCAACAGGTCTTATTCTGTCCTACCTTACATCATTCCAGCGTATTTTACCAATGTCAGCTGTCAAATTACAATTTGGATATACATGATGCGCCATCTAACAATGCGTTTATGATGCTGTGGAATGAAACAGTAGCAAAACGAGGGGCCATAGAAATTTCGTCATGTTTACTGAGGTACGCAAAAGAACATTTCCAGCCATTGCAAACAGGTGAAAGAAGACAGCTAATAATATGGTCAGACAGATGTGTGGGACAGAACAATAACTGGCGAATGATTACAACTTTAAAACTTTTGGTGGACCTAAATTATTTCACAGAAGTGCACCAAAAATTTCTCTCAACTGGACACAGCTTCCTGCCCTGCGATAGGGACTTTTCCCTAATAGAAAAAAAGAAAAAAACTATGAAAGTTTTCGTACCATTGAAGTGGATGGAAGTAATTGCCAACGCAAGGGAAAGTAAGCCTTTTTATGTTTTGTACATGCAAAGAGAGGATTTTAAAAATCTGAGAGATTTGGAAAAAGCTCTTCACAGAAATCCCAAATTTAAACTTACGGAATCACTATGGAATAAAATTAGTTCCAAAGACCCAAATACATTATTTACAAGAGAAATAAATTCATAACGTCCTTCGACCCTGGAAACATTTTTACGTCGTAAAAAATATTGCCAAGTACAAGGCAAGTACTTCAACTTTTTCCAGTATGGAAAATTTACCTTTGGCATATGAGGGACCAATACCTATTTCGGCTGCTAAAAAAGCTAATTTATTAGATATGTGTCAGTATATGAATCCGGTTTATCAATTTTTTTACGAAAATTTGTTGACAGAATGAATATCACTTTTACCTACAAATTTATATACTGTATATTTTTAGTATTAAGATTATTAATGTATTTTTTTTGCATCCCTAAAAATATCTCCTACTTTCATTTATATACTATATTAAACATTTTGTATTAGACTTAGTTCTTATTCTGTTAGACAGTTTTGTTTTTAAGTAAGACATACTGAAAAATATAAATACACTGCTCAACAATTGAACTGGATAATGGGCCATGTTCACATGTGAGATATGCTGTTTTATAAACTATATTGTAATAGTTAGTCGCTATACAAGTTATTCTAAATAATCAGTTCGTTAAAAAAGCTAAAAGTTTTTAAATTAAGCCCAATTGAAATTTAAAATTTGAAATTATACGTCATCGGGAATAGACCAATCAGCTTGTGTCGAAGTTTTTTTTGTTATACAAAACCAAGCCAACGAACAAACCTACATACAGAATGTCGAAGTGAACGCACATCTAAGTGACATTAAAAATTGACAGCACCTAACAACTAACCTTAGTTTTTTGTTTTGGTTTAATTTTATTAATAATCTGAATTTATCTGGGTAAATTATCCTGTGGGATATAGGATATATAAAGGAAGAAGAATATGAATTTATCAGCTGTATTTATAAAAGTTGAATCAAGTATTTTTCCCATTGTAAACGAAAATATGATTACCGAGATGATTACTGCATTTTTTAACAATACTCAGTTTACAAAAGATAGAAAGGTAAAACTTTATTTATAAATTGTTTTAATGGTAGGTAGTTATAGTTTATATGAAGCAATACACTTTATAGTAAAACATATTTATCTCAGGTTTTATTTTTAGATCTGCCAAGCAAGAATATGGAGATATTTACTTTTTCCATAAGAGAGAAGGAGACAAATTACACCTAAACATAAAGTACAGCAAAAACCTTATGATGTGGCTGTCGTATTTAACAAAAATGAAATTTTTAGTGCACAATGCTTAGGATATGTTGAATCTCAAGGTTTGTAATATTTATTATGCTTTTTTGTTTTTATATCACATATAATAAACAGTGTATAAGGCCCTTTATTCCTATAAAATTTTTTTTTCTAATTTTGACATTAAGAGACATTTTTTGTAATCGCAGCAAGTGTTAAAATAATCTAGAAATAGATTTTGTTAGTGAACCTAGTAATAATTATGATACCAAAGAATGCTGCAGAGCACCTATGAAATTTTGAGTTAAAACATGCCATATTTTTAGGCTATTTTTATACCCTTTTTAAAAATTTTATGCTCCTCGTTTTATGCAAAACTTAAAATGCTCTGATAGCTTCGAACGAAGTCAGCAAAGCACCTCTGTTTTATAAAGTTTTTTCTGTAAAAACAGCAACACCATATATTTATGCACTTGAAATATTATATTTTTAAAAAATACAAGGTGCTTGCTAACCTTCGAAAGAAGCCAGCAGAGCAATTCGGTTTTTTAAAGCTTTTTTCTAAAAACCACACCCCATTTTTAGACTCTTGAAATATTGTAAAACATTACTAAAAAAATTGCTATTTTTAAATAATACAGGGTGCTTTGTTGGAACAAAGTCAGCAGGACACTTCAGTTTTTTAATATATAAAAACAACTACTTATGACACATGTTTAGGCTGTTTTAAAATCCTAAAAATGTGGTAACTATATTTGTTTTCAGAAAAAAAACTTTGAAGTCAGCAAGGAATTGCGAATTTTTTTAAAAATGCCAAATTTCGAATATTTTATAATATTGTAGGAGCCAAAAAATGTGGTGTGGTTTAAAAAAAAACTGGGGTGCTCTGCTGGATTCGTTTGAAGCTAACAAAGCATCCCGTAATTTTTTATTTTATAATACTCAATAGCCTAAAATGAGACATAGCTGTTTAAACAAAAATGGTACTTTTAAAAATAGCAGTTTTTTTCGAAAAGCTCTATAATATTTCAAAAATGTGAAGAGCTTGTTTTTTTTTAAGTTTTGAAAATCAGAGGTTCTTTACTGGATTCGTTCAGAGCTAGTAAAGTGCTCGTCTTGTTACATAAAATAGGGCATTTTGTAGCTGGTTATATAGTTATTTTGTAACTGCATATCCAACCCTTTTATTTTTTTCAGGAGGTTGTAAACATGTGGCTTCATAGAAGAAGTGAGGAACCATCTGTAACATCTACTCAGTGTTATTGATAATGATGTACACTTGGCTAGATTGTTAAAGAAACCTCTTCATCCACTACAGGAAAATAAATCAGTACTTTTATATTCTTAGGATTTGTATATATTTTTTATTTGTAAATAAATTGTTTTTTTACTTCATTTTTCTCATTTTTTATTAAAAGGTTAATAAATAAAATTTTCACAGATTTTTATATTTTTGTTTGTAAACAATAATTGAAGTTTTTATTAAAAATCACCAATGTTAATAATAATAACTTATGTCAATATTATTCTTTCTCCTTTTTTAAAGCTACTATTAATAAAGGTATTACTTTAGCTTGACCTATGATCAATTTTTAATTTTGTGATATATTTGGTTTGACAGAAAAAAAATTAAAACCCTTTGACATTGGTTGTTTTTACTTAGATTTTCATAAAAAATAAACGGAACTGCAAACATGTTTTACTATCGTAATAACGAATAGCAACATGAAATTTTTTTTTCACATTTATCACTGTTGTCATTTTCATAGGAAGGCACACTTTCTGGTTTTTTGAAAAAGGTGGCAAGAATTGTGATATTTTTAAATTTATCACCAGTGATACCACATGTAGTTACCCGATTTATTGGAATATATAGACTTTGCAACCACATTCAACTGAACTTGGTTTTTAATATTTATCACTGTGACATAGGCGTTTTTGTTAAAATGTTTCATTTTAAACTGCTGTAAATAGGTGCCTTTGTTTTGGTAGTTTTAGTCCCAAAAAAATCTATGCATATACAGGTACTCATTCCTCTTTGATTTGCTCAAAAAGTTAAAATTTTATAAAAAATTACATTGGCTGTTTAAAAACTTATTATAATCCCTGAAATATGATAATTAGGTAAATTAAATTGAAAAACAAACAAAAAAGTTTATTAAATTAATATTTACTCTTACAAAATAGGTTCTTGTAAGTTAACAAGCAATTATGCAGATATTACTAAGTAAATGTACTTGCTTAAAATTCACACACGAATGTGGTTTTAACATGTTAAATTAACTAACCCTTCTTATAACTCTTTCCACATGTATTCTTAGAGATGCTATTCTTTTACTTAATTGTACATCTTCTGGAGAAGTTTTTTCATTCTGTGATACACTAGGTGTGGCTTTACTAAAGTGCATCTCATGTTTTCAAGTAGCTGATTATTCTGAAACCAGTTTGTTTAAATACCCACATTTTTCCATTATTTCTTTATCACTAGTTCTTCCACAAAATGATGAATAAATTCGGTATCTTCAAAACTTTCAGGAGATTCTGCATTTTCTTCCAGAAGGGTTTTTAGGTTATACACCTAAGAATTTATAGTAGCCTCATTTTCAATTTCCTGAAGGGGACAATTAGCAGAAATTGCTGCTACATCTTGATAATCCGGTGTATTTTTATTAAAAAGTTCACGAGAAACATCGCTAGTAGAAGGTTGATTTTCTTCTTTCCAAATTTCTAGGAACACTAATAAATATTTTTGAAGATGAATGTGAATCATTATCACATTCTGGAACAAAACACTTTTTCGTAGTCATAATATTTATAAAAAGTACAAAATTAAACAATCAAATTCCAAATAAATTCTTGATGGAGACACTATGATGACAGATGCCATACACAGTGCTGCCATTTTGCCATTTTCTGAATTATTAAGTGACTTTTAAAACAATGAAACTTTAAATATGGTAAAAGTTTAAACAGAAATAATACTTTCAAAAAACATTTGATATTATATATTTAAAAGATATTTGTTTAACGATGTTTTAGAAGTTTAAAAGTAAGAAGGAGTACACAAATGAACGTACATCACTTCTCGTAAACCTTCTAGCCAGCAACGTTGTGCGCTAGCTCCTATTGGTCTATTCCCGGTGACGTCATAAATTTTAAAAAAATTCATAACTCCGGCAAATGAATAGATAAAAAAAAATAAAAAAAATGTAATTTTATTTTCAACTCTATTATTCATAAAAAAAATTTCAAAATTTTTGAACATGCCCCATTGGTAAAATCCTGAAATTTATATGTAAACATATTAAAAAAAAAAACTTTTTTTGTATTATCAATAAACCGTATTCACAGCGATTATTTTTTGCATGTTTATTGTTCGTTGTCAATGCTCTTATCTCTTTCACGAAAATTACAGGAGGATTTTAAAAATCGTAGAGTATCAGTTGTGCAGAAGAGTTTATTCTTACTTTGTTCTGTTACTTTTATCAATAATTTTGTATATTTGAGTAAAGAATATGCCGTTACCACGATTAGAGGCAGTGCAACTGCAGCAATTAGTGCGTTGGATAGAGGAAGGTTTGTCCCAAGAAGGAGTCACCACGCGGCTGAATGTGTCTCAGAGTGTCGTAAGTCGTGCTTGGAATCGGTATCAAACAAATAACTTTATCGCTATAAAGAAAGAGTATGATATTTACGTAGAAAGTATTGGAGAATCAAAAAATTGTAATAAAATTGCAATTCCGCCAGTGGCGTATAATTTGTTAATGATTAACAAGTCACTTGCCCCTGTCGTACGCCTCTGATGGTAGTCAGGAACTTTTATTTAATATAATTTAGTAGGGTGTATAGTATCTAAACTTCCCGCCAAATATGACAATAATA